GCGTTCACGCGCTCGGGGGCCACCAGGAGAGCTGTCAATCCCTCCTCCTGAACTCTGTTCAGGAACCGTAAAATCGGAGGAGGTGGAGGAAACGCGTAAAGAAGCGTTTTGGGCCATGGGCTGTGGGCAAACGCATCCACGCCCAGCGGTGGTTCGTCTCACGGGCTCAGGGAAAACCATAGTTGACACTGAGCGTTCTCTCGTGTCGCAAACAGGTCCACAGCTGCTTTGCCAAATTTCTGCCACGTCTGAATCATCAGGTCTGGATGGAGAGTCCAGTCCCCGTGACGTGGGCCGCCCCTGGACATCACATCTGCCCCTTTGTTCAGAACACTGGGTATGTAAACTGCTCTGATGGAGAGCAGATTTTGGTGAGCCCAACACAGTAGCTTTCGTGCAATGTGTAACATCTGGGCTGAGCGGATACCCCCCTGCTGGTTTATGTACGCAACAGTCACCTTGTTGTCTGTGTGAATCAACACGTGTTGATTCGGTAGCACGGGAGCAAAGTGCTGAATCACATTCAGCACCGTGAAACACTCCAAAACATTTATGTGGGCAGATGTGTGATGGGGCCACAGCGCCCCTACTGCTTGAGATAGGCATGTCCCCCCCCAGCCTGACAGCGACGCGTCCGTGAAGACTGACACGTGTGACGTGGGTCTGCTGACGGGGGCTCCCTCCGACAGAACCAGGGTGTTTCCTCAGTGTCGGAGGTCTGCTCTCACGGAGGGAGGAACAGTGATCATCCGTCTCTTTTGTTTTACTGGGTCCACACGCAGACGCACAAACCACCTCTGGGGGCGTCTCGTGTAATAAACCCAGCGGGACAACTGTGTGAGCTGATGACATCATTCCTAACAGCTTCATGACGGAGACGGCTGTTACCACTCTGCCAGGTCTTACATGGCGGAGCTGGTCTTTTAAAGTGTCAATTCTCGTTTGTGATAAACGAGCCTTCATGGTGGTTGAATTTAACTCCACTCCCAGATAAACAATTGTCTGGGCCGGGAAAATCGAGCTTTTCTTCCAATTTATGGTGAAGCCCAGATTTAACAGGTGTGATGTCAACACCTGAGCCTGCATCACTGCTTCCTGTCTGGAGCGTGACAGCAGCAGCAGATCGTCCAGGTAAAACAAAACTCTCATCCCTGCTCTGTGTAACGGATGCAGGGCTGTCTCCACACACTTTGAGAACGTACAAGGTGCGAGGGAATACCCGAACGGCAGCCTGTTGTACTGATACTTCATCCCCTGAAAGGAGAAACGCAGGAATTTTCTGTGTTTTGGGATGATCGGTATGTGAAAATAAGCATCTTTTAGGTAGACGGAAAACAAACCAGTCGTTTCTCTGGATGTTGTCCAACAGCTGTCTGGTTGTCAACATGTGAAAATGGTCTGTCCATGATCGCCTTGTTGAAAGCTGACAGATCCAAAATCGGTCTCATCCCTGTGGTCCGTTTGGGAACCAGGAAATAACGTGAGTAAAACCCTGTGTTTTCCTCTCTGTTGGGAACCCTGGAGATTACTTCTTTTATCAGAAGCTCTTGGACTTCTGCATTTAGGGATGAGATTTGGTCTGGTGATGACAGGACCGTCTCTAAAACTCCTCCGAACAGAGGGGGTCGGGTTGCAAACTGTAACGTGTAACCTTTGCATAACACCCTGTCCATCCATCTGTCCGGCGAGCATGTTTTTAGCTACTCCGCGTAACGTTCGTGGAGTGGACGTGCGTTTAAGTGATGCGTCATGTTTTGTACGGATGTCACCAGTCCGCCGCCTCGACCGCCGTCATGTGTCGCGGGAATGTTTTCTGCGTGACCCAAGGCGAGGCTTCCTCGAAAAGGCTCTGAACGCGCCCGTGCGCTGCGTTCGGACCGCGGACCAACCTTCATGTACAGGTGGGCCGGTGTGTGCTGAGGCGAAGCGTGTGACAGCTGATGACGCCGTGGGGCTGCGCGTTCGACGTCGCTGTGCGAACGTTGAGAGGCGGAGAGCGTGACTTCATCTACGCCGTGCTGTTGGAGTGAAGGCTGCGAGCCCCGCGGGAGCACACTTTTTCTCTGGAGGGACGCGCGCCGCTCTTGCTGGAGGCGAGACTCGTCACCGGATTCGTTCAGCTGTCTCATGCTTATGCTGCCGTGAGCGGCCGAGCGCTGAGACGCGGTGGGTGAATGCTGCCCGCGTTGCGGCCGCACGCGTTTGCTTCGGTGAGGCGTGTGTTGCTCTTGCTGAGAAACGAGGACCTTCACTGGACCCGGCCTGCGGTCCCATATTTATACCGATGTGAGCCGGTGAGCGCCGGGGAGCTGTGTGTGCACCATCAACAACGCAGCGCCGTTTGGATGAAGGCTGTTTGCATCACACGAGTGCGCGTTTGATACCGCTTGGGTGAGGATCGTGCAGCTCGGGTTGACAACGAGTTATTTCGCTTACCATCGTGTCGTGTGAGCGTCTCGTCATGTCTTGGAGCGACGGTGAGTTTAAAAAAACTTTATTTAAGGACACCGGCTCGTTATGTGTGGAGGATGTGTGCGCAGCCGCTGTGAGTTCATCCGAGCTTACAGACTGGCTAGAAACAGACACTTGATCATTGAAAGATGATTTATTTCAACTTTCGTGTCACTTTTACACACACCCTCCGCAGACCGTCATTTTTTAAATCTTCTCCCCCTTGAGCTCTGTGATTTGTTTGCCCAGAGCGCTGTCTGCAGGCGATCTCTGGGGAAACGTTGAACCTCACGTTGCCGGGATGAAGAGGGCTGGTCTCTGACGGGCGGGGCTGGTGGTGGAGCTGAGCGAGACGACGACGCCGCGGCCGTGGAACGTCGTAGTTCCTGCCTCTGCTCACGACGGTCTCTCCAGCGGGCCGGGGGGCGGGATGAGCCGCGCGGCTTGATGAGGTGGCGCACAGCCTCTGACACCTCCTCCGACTGCTTCGAGTTCGCCAGCATGGCTTTCAAGTTGCTCCCGAACAGCGCGTCTGCCATGATGGGGCCCTCCATCAGGTCTTTGTGCAGTTTCTCTGGCAGCGAGAAAGAGTGACGGAGCTAGGTGGATCATTGAATCATCGTCATCCACGCTGCAATTCTGGACAGGCAAACCGTAGAAGAGGCGCACATATTGAGGATGGCGTCGGCTGCCTTACAGAGGGAGCTCTTGGTCTCCTCAGGCAGGTCTGCGGCCTCTTGGACATGCTATATGCTAGCAGTGCCACGTTGTTGTTAGCTGCGGCTGCCTGAAAAGCATGTTGATGAGCTCGATTGGAGAGCATGGTCACCGTCTGGTCGTGTTTCCCAGGAGGGACGGGACGCTGCTCCAACCTGGACAGCTTTGCTCCGAAAGCTTCTGCAAGGCTTGGCTCGGGGGGGGGGGGGGGGGGGG